CAAAAATAAAAAAGTTATTTGGGGTGGGACATTAAAATGAGATACTCTGTATAATTATTTATAATTATTATTCAATTGTTTATATAATTTTATATATACCTACATATACATATACAAATCTTCTTTATTTTCCAATGTAATACTTTTTAAATTAAATTATTTTGCACTTGTTTTGTTTCTTAATCTTTTTTCTTAGTTAATACGAACATCCCAGTGCCATTCGACGTTTTTATCTTTTGATCGATCACGCATAAAGTATAAAGACGTATATTGATGGTTGTAGCTACTTCAAAAACTTCATTTATTCGTCAACGTCTGAAAGACGAACAAATCGTGTTTGTTAGAGATGACGGATGCAAATTAGGGAACATAGTTGAGGTCGAGGATAATATTTCTAGGGAAGCGAGCTTAATCACGGGTAGCTCTTTAATAATTACCTTACCCGCGTAAACGAGATATACGTTGCACAGAGCGGTCGATATTCTTGCACAATTTAATATTTAGTTTTTTCTTCTGTTTATTAACAACACAATCTGATTTTTACAAAAATTGATTTTATGTATGAAAACTTTAAAAAATTTTGGGAAAAATTTAAACAGACAAACTTTGCGATCTTGATTATTAATAATTATTTGTAAAATAATTAGAAACAATCTCTTTATACTTAAATTATTTTTTACATGTAATTTTTATAATTATGATTATTATATTTAATAATTATATAAATAATTAAAAAATAAGTGGAGAAAACTCTTTTCTTTCGCTTAATTTAAAGCAGATTTAAAGCTAATATATCTATTAATTTAATTTTAATTAATTATACGTTTTAATTTTATATACTTATGTAAAAAATAATATATTTCTAATAATTTGCATTGCGTATTATATGAAAGCAATGCATTATTTTTTTACATTTTCCCGTTTCCTTTATTCCATAAATAGAAATAGAAAAAGACATAATATTACAACAATATAATGATATGGAAGTTCATTTATGTTACAGTACCCATTACAATCGACGATTAAAACTTGAGCAGTAACGCAGTAAAAGTTACGATACCTACTTTTCCGCATTTTTAATAGCGCCTAGTTAGAAATTCGATCTTACGACGAACTTTAATTCTACCACCGCGCACCGTAAAACAAATTACGTGTTCTTTAGTGATTTCGGTAACTCATCGAGTCGATCTTGCAACGATAATTTTGCGCAAAAAAAATAAATTATTATATCATGCTGAAGTTAATCGAAAACTGTTTCTAGCGAGATAATACAATTTTAAAGACCCTATTCTGAGGAAATGGTTTTCTCTGAGAAAGAAAACGCAAACACATATGGAAATATATTAAGAATATATTTATATTTCACAAATGTTCTTGAATATTTCGCTTCCATTTCTCATTTCTTCAGAATTAGGAAAAAGTATACTTTCTTGCAATCACGTTATAGAAGATTATATTAAAAATACATCTTTTAACCTTACATTCTTTTCTTATCATCTAATTTTGAAATCTTAATTTTTTAATTTAACGATTCTTATTATTAATATAGCGATTCTATTTCTTGCCTAGAAGGAAGATGAACGAGATGGAGCAGATTCCTGAGGGTTGAGATCACGTGGATCCTCGAGATGACCGGTTGGAGAATGCAGCCGACCGCCTCGGTGCTCGGCGTCATCGCCATTGTCTCCGTCATGATTACTGTCACAGCATCAGGTAAGCGATTCAATGTGCAGATTTTGCTCAACGTTTTTAATTTTAACGCAGATTTACAAGATATCTATTAAAATTTAGATAATTTTATTAATACAATATAATAAAAATATCAACTTAATTTATTCTTTTGAATACTTTTATATAATTATTTTGATATTTATAATGATTTCGTCCATTATTATTGAAAAAAATATAAATGAAAATTAATCATAAACCAAATAGGTTTACCAATTTATATGCAATTAAGCACAAATACGAAGGTTCAATTAATTTTTTATTAAATTATAAATTATAAATTAAATTATAAAATGTATCTTTAAATATTGCATAAAAATTGACTTATGTATTAACAGAATGATGGAATTTTCTAAAAGATTTATGTATATATACAAAGTTTTTAAAAAGACAATAATTGGAAGAACTTCAGTATCTATGCTGACGATGCCAAAGTTACGGATATTTTCTGTATCATATCTCAAAGTCGAAGTCGATTTTCGCGCTATAAATTCAAGCTACTCGCTCTCTGTTCGCGATAAATTTATGGTACACTTTTTCGGTTGAATACTCTCGCGATGTTAAATTATTGCAAGCAAACGAACGACTTGTTTGTCTCAGTTTATCGGGATGCGAGGATTTTTAATTAACCTGAATGTCTCTAACTGCGTCGTAAGCGTCGAGTCGTAACAACGGAAAAACGGCCGTGCCCGGCGGGATAAAGAGGGCGAAACTCTTTTGTAGCTACCGAGCCAGTTGTTCTATACAGTCTTTATACGAAGATAACCCCACCGGAATTTACTTTCTTGCGCTTCCTAGCAATCACCATTTGGTAAGCGAATGCCCTTTCACGCAGTTCCGCGCACCCTACGAAACCTAAAAGTACCGGATAACGAGATTGCGCTTAATGTTGAAAAACTTTTCATAGATAAAGACATTGTTGTTTTCATGAATCATAATAATTCTAATTTTAAGCGACACGGTTTGTCCGTAAAAGAAACAAAGAGACATAAACATTAGTCGGTTTGAGATAATAATATTTTAATAAAAAATGTTTGTCAAGAAAGTAAATAAATGATTGAAATGAATTTTTTTCTATAATCGAATAAAAAAAAAGTTTTATATTTTATTAAAATGGATTTACAATATTAGAATGTCAACATTAACATAATTTTATATGTAAATATGTTATATCAGGAAATTATGTGATCAGTATTTAGAGTTTAGACCAAACAGAATTATTGTATAATATGAATATAATATACATAATTGATATAAATTATATATACATGTAACAATTATAATAAAGAAGAAGTAAATATATATAATTATAACAATGTAACAAGTACATAACGTTTGAAACTACACAACGTGTAAATGACGTTAGAAACAAAGAGTAACAAGGAAATAATTAATATATCTATTCCAATTATACGAGTAATATATATGTTGGATTTTAGATTATTAGAGACATAAATATTAACAAACAAACGGGCAAATGAGAGTCAAACGAATTAATGGGGCGCAAATTATCTCTTTAAGTAGCAAAATAAATTCTGTAAAAGGACGTGTCACGCCTGTCTTAATTTCGTTCGAGATTTTAATATGTGTCTTGAACTTACCGCAAAGACTTGTAAAATACAATGAAATGGAACATGAATCATTGTTATCGCCGATATGAAGAAATTATTTATAACGTTGAAAAACTCAAGTTATAATTAAAAATGAAATAAGACGTACTTAAGTTTCTATATCATTCGTATATGTATAACGACGTTCTCACTTCAAACTCTCAACATGAAATGAGTAATATGATCAGTTTCACATTACGTGTGATATTAAATAAATGAGGCATTGAGTTTATTAACAATCTGTTTAGTACCGATAAATAGGAATAATGTAACGCTTTTTTTTGACGGACTGCTGCATGAAGTATATCAATCATTTGAGAAGACACTGATGATGACTCGAAGAGGAGTCGTAACGTATTTCTGGAAATTTTGTATTCTGAATTTGTATGTAGATCTCATTATTAAAGAGATAATTTGCGCCCCATTAACTGCGCTTGACTCTCATTTGCCCGTTTGTTTGTTAATATTTGAATTTCGAGAGTTCTTTTACATTTTATTTTTAGAGATATAAGCCTAAAATTTATACAAATAAAAATCTTAAAGAAAGAATTTTACTCGCTATTGTTTACATTAAAAATCAAAGAAATGTTGCAACAAGTCAAATGAGTTTCTTTTTTGCTGGAGAGAGAGAGAGAGAGAGAGAGAGAGTATTATCTCGTGCAAATAACTTTTTTTTTCAAATCGGGATTTCTGCTCTGTGTAGACTTTTAATTCAACCCTTCAAAGACCGACGTCCATCTGGGACTGCATTTGTCGCGCCCGCAGGAATAATCTGCGGAATTTCCTTCTTCGCACGTTTCGCGAATTTGTCTATCACACGTGACAAGCGTAAATCCTTGCTGACAAATTGCGGAGCGCGGAGATAGGTACGCCACGTTACTTCGGCACGTCCGCCCGATCGTATATAGGTGGGCTGAAAACGCGCTCGGCTCGAAGGTGGAAAACGGGAATTAGACGTGAAATTTGCAGACGCGGTGAATGAAAAATGATACGTTACTTATGCATCGGTTACACGGGGCCCGATCGAAGGCTATCAATCACAAGGAACAAACGCGAAGTGTATCTTCATTTTATGGTGCGGAGGGGTGAAGAAGGGGGGAGAGGGTGGGGGGAGCTGTATCGCGTGGGGCTAATCGCCGAAATTTCGCGCGAATCACTTGCACTCCCCGGAGCAATGGCGCTTTTAAGCCCCGGCCACCGGCGTATCGCACGGCGGCGATCAATCATTCGCACAATCGCCTGTATTCAGGGCGCGAGATTGAAGAAAAAGCTTTCCCCGGACGGATTGGTAACAAAACCCCGAGACGAGCGAGCGCCTTATCTGTTATCACAGAGCCGTGTTATTCGGAGCATGTTCGCACAGAGATCCGACTGCCAGGAATAATAATAATGTAATCCCGACAAAGCGAAGATTAATATGCCAATAGAACTTTGATAACACCATCGGAAATTAATCAAACGGAAACGGCATGCGCTCGAATCGCAACTTAAATTCAAACGTCGGTTTAGTTTCAAAAATATCTTCATTTAAGTGCAGCCCCTGATATGAAATATGAAGCAAATAAATGATGATAAAGTGAACTTTCTACAAGAAGGAATCGCTTCAGAAGATTTCTCGGATTCTCGCGGAAAAATCATTGTATACACATCCGCCGTTTTATAAATCGTTTTTCAAATATATATTTCCTTAAGAACACAGCTTGGGTGTGTGTGTGTGTGTGTGAGTTTATAAAAGCACGGAGTAAATAAATTGTGATATATCGATTCGTCTGCAGCGAGCAAAAATTGCACGGGGTGAGTCCGGCGATCTTCGAATTTTCCACTGAAATCTCTGTATACACGTCCGCCGTTTTATAAATCATTACGAACGTCGTCGGTGACCAAAATTACACGGCGTTGCTCGACACGATCGATCGATCACTCGCGACGCAAAGCGCGCGCTAAATTGCTTCCGAACGACGAACGAATGTCACGTTGTCGTTGCTGTTGCTGCTGCTGCTGCTGCTGCTGCTGCTGCTGCTGTTGCTGTTGCCATTACAGCCTGTGTGCTATCGGCGTGGCCGGCAATATCGATTCGCCTAAACAAGATCGCCGTCGCCAAATATCGCGGTGTATATCGGCTCGCTGACGTTTGCACATTTTCCGGACAATCGACGAGATCGGTGATTTCCAAAATTTTCACAGACCTGTATACAGTATTAGAGGTTATTAACGTGTCAGGGATAGTTAAGATTCTATAAAAAAAAAAGATAGTTACACACGAAGAGTACTTAAATTTTAGTTTACAGTTATAGAAAACTTTGGAATATAATTTACTGTAATTGAACATTTGTGACTCAATACTTCTTAAAATCACTTATCCATAGATTTTTTAACCAGTATAAAATTGTTTTTTTCTTACAAATATTAGTTTGTAACTGAAACATCATTAATTCTTCGCAAGTAAATATATTAAAAATGTGATTAACATTCTCCCATAAAAATTAAAAATGTTTACAAATTACTAACGTTGGATAATTTCACGGAAAGAACGATTTTGTTGAAAGATCTAAAAATTTTGCTAAAAACAGATCTGAAAATAATTTTTTGTTGAATCATCAAAATAATTTGTTGGAATGTTAAAACTGATAAGCATTGCTATAAAACGTTTTGATATTCCAGCAATCACTTTTATTTTCGCACAAAATTATTTTGATTCTTGAACAAAAATTATTTCCAGATCTGGATTCAGCAAAATTGTTCTTTCCGTGTTCGGAATGAATATCATTCTTTATAATATGAGCGCAGATCAAAACATTCGTATTTATAATATAAAGCCAGCAGCGAAAGAGACTTAATATGAGATAAAAGAAAGAGAGAAAGAGTACATGGTATTCTTTACAGTTCCTTCCTTCTGTGGTGATTTGGTGATCTTCAATTTTCCGCAAGAGCAGCGGAAGATGAAAGGGATAAAGCTGGACTGGTGTAGCGTCTTGTGACGAAGTAGAGAAAATTGAAGAACAAATGCCTGAGGAGCTATATAAAAGTCTGTAGCTGTTCTGTGTAATGCTAGAATGGAGGATAATGGAGGGGGATAGAGCGCTCTCTGATATAGAAGTCGCGGCAGATCGCAATCTTATAATCCTCGCATTCAGCACGGGCAAATATAGCAGCGAGCGAGGTGATCGCTCTATATATTCATAGCGACTGTTATCGTTGTGAGAGCAATATCCACTTGCGTAAATAGGATTGCGACGATTGTCAGACATTGCGCGACGCGCACGGGAACATCAACGAGTCTACGTTACGCTCGCGACGGCACAGTTTTATTGCGCAATAAACAACACTATAACGTGAAAGTTTTTACCCATTAAAACATTATCGCGAATAGATTTTCAGAAACTTCTATCGACTATTGATCCATGAATGAGACAGTACAGTCGTAATGTATTAATAAAAAGAAAGAATTACACGGAAAGAACAATTTTGCTAGATCTAGATCTGAAAATTTTTGTTTAATAATTAAAATAATTTTGTTGGAAAGTCACAATGATTGCCAGAATATCAAAACGTTTTATAGCAATGTTTATCAGTTTTAACGTTCCAACAAATTATTTTGGTAATTCAACAAAAAATTATTTTCAGATCTGTATTTAGCAAAATTTTTAGTAAAATTTACTTTCAACAAAATCGTTCTTTCCGTGTATAAAGACATTTTTCTTTTTTTACAAAAGTTATTTAGAAGAATTATATATGTTCTCATAATTAAGTACATATTCAAGTGTACAGGATGTCCCGAAATTCGTGAATTATAGCAAAAAAACTTTGAAAAATTAAGTAAAAAAAGTTATTTGTAAATTTTTATTTTAAGCAATAGCTTTCGACATACATATAAGAGTTTAAATTAGATCAATTAAATATAGATATACACACGCAAAGTGAAAACTAACACTATCGACGCGTTACTCACAGACATGTGTCCATTTAACCGTAATTTATAATTGGCCAAATTTAAACTCTTAAATTATTAACTCTTAATATCTCAATAAAGCTACTGCTTAAAATAAACATTTACAAATAACTTTTTTACTTAATTTTTCAAAAACTTTCTTGCTATGATATTTTGATTCGCGAATTTCAGGACACCCTATAATATAATCGTTCGTTTGATTTAATTTGTTAAATTTAATATTTTTTTATAACTAAGTGTAGGTATACTTACTCTCTAAAACTCGAAGAGCGAAAAATGAGCTGAAACGGCCCAAATACAAGTGCAACATGAGATGAAATAGTACTCTATAATTGGTGTGGAAATCGCTCCATTTGAGTAAAAGTGCACTCTTTTCGGATGCGGAGATTTTCAGGAGTAAATTGTGTTACACTATATTTTTGAGTAGGAAATTTCACTTTGGTAGAATCAGTTTATCAGTCTTTTTATGAGTGTCCACATTCACTCAAATTAAAATGACAATCGCAATCATTCTAATATATAATGAAATACATCTATTAGTGGCGAAATCATTTTATGAGATTTAAAGAGTAGGGAAGACCGGGGCCGGTTGATACATTTTTTCACATGTAACATATAAATGAAATAAATGTCGCAAAGATATTCTTAATAGCCACATGCTTCAACAACATAGAAATTATTTTTATAATTTAATAATATAATTAATTTTTAAAGTATCTCTTTCAAAAGAAGAGCTAGTGAGCCTCTTTTAATACTTTATTAATTTTTAATTATATGAGCGAGTTTGATATACTTATTAATTATAATTAATTTTGTTGTATTAATGGAAAATGTAAAGTGATGCAACTTGTAACAACCGGCCCTATGTGCGGGGTCAATTGTTACAATTATTGGAATCAGTCGTTACACATCCAGATTTCAAAATATAACGCACTTAATTGAAGGAAATAAAAAAAAATTGTGCATAGCATAACTTTATTTATAATTTTTAAATAAAATATACACATTAATGATATAAACATAAATGTTTATCAGTCTTTCTCTTACAAAAATTACAATGGAAAAAAATATAAATACAAGATTGCACTAAGAAATCTAACATTATTTTTAATTTATTTCGATTGAAAACAAAAACACTATAACAACATACGCCGTTACAATCAGTCCCGACTTACCATAATTACACATTTTAATTGTTGCTTAAGCAAAAAATATATTTTAAGACGTTAATATAACTGTAAGTTATTACTTATAAAGTAAAGATTCTAAAAAAAAAAGTTAGAACTATAATATAATAAGCAGATTTATAAATATAACATTTAATATATCACTGATTTATTTTACTTTGGCTATCAAAAACTAAAATTACTTTTTATTTCTCAAAAAAATGCTATTCAATTCAAAATATCTTATTGCAGCATGACTGCAATGTTTTTGCGGAAATGCTATATTTTTTATATAATATTACCGTTTGTCATTTTGCAGCAATTTTGAATGTACCAACGTGCCTCATGTATCAGCTCCGGTCTCCTCTATACATATGTAATTCCTGCAAATTTTACCGATGCTGACGCGAAGTTTTTGATTTACAATAAATCGTTAAAAAATATAGTTGAAACTATATGGATAGACTTTCTGTTGCAACTACTCCATAAAAAAAAAAGCCATTCACTTTTGTCAACCGTAGAACAGATTTTTAATCGTATAAAAAGAAATTTCTCTCAATGCTGGAGTAAATTTCGTTGGATGACAGAAAGCGCGCACCGAGTGAAGTTTTTCAAAAGAGTTGTTTATCATGAGTTTTCTCATGGACTTCGATTGCGATCGAAGTCACGAGGAGAAACGAAACCTTATACCGGAAACTTTGCTAGCGCTTTCGCAAATAAAAGCACGATCGCGATACGCACGGTCGCGAAATGAAATTCCTGCGGAAGTAAACCCGCGGCACTTTTGTTTCGGGGAAAATACGTGCCGCTGTGCCGCGCACAAAGGAATTACACACTGTTATTATCACGTGGCTCTCGTCGCGCGGAATATTTCCAAGTGAACAGGATGTCGCGCGCAGATTTTCAGTTTTTGCTTCTACGTTCGGTAGTTGACGAAACGACATTTTCGAATTGCGAATATTGTGTCTGAATTATATAATCTCACTAAGTTCTTGTTGCTATAGAAGTTGTAAAAAGTGTCGCTAAATTGTGTACTTTTTCGTTAGTGAAATATGGATAATTAATTGAGCGAGGTATCGTCGATTTTAGCAATATTACTCCCGAGTTTGCAACTACGTTACTCTCGTCAAGAAAACGACTCGAATGTATAATACAGTCTCAACTTTATAACATTTTAAAATCTCTTGATTGTCCATTTATTGACTGTCCTTCGGGAGCCTTTTGAACGTCCCATAAAACTTCTGGCGGCCGCACTTCTTACGTCCGCATTTAAATCCTCACCCGACCGGGAGATCATCCTATCCCCGTTCCAAGTCATAAATCTCGGCGCAACGAACGCTCCGCCTCGTCGGCATGTCGATTCACCCTCGACACGACCGACGAATCTGTGTTCACCCCTTACATCGCCCGCCCACCATCCGCGTTCCATACATCCGTTCCGACTTAACTCACTTATCGTTAACACGGCTGTTTGCTTTCTTCCCGCAGAAGCGGAGAACGGCGCCATCGAGCGTGGCATTAATCATCTCGACGAGGAAGATCAGCGCGTCGACGAGAGAATCGCGAAGAATCGCACTGTCGAAAGCGCTGGCTGGTCTCGCGGCAACGACAGCACAACAGCCCTCGAGGAAGTCATTTCCGCTTTCACGGTTGAGTACCCGGCCTCAACCTCGACAAAGGATTCGCCCTCGCTCGTTACCGCGGTGGATCCGCGCTTCGAGAACGCGTCGAAGAAATACGCGGACGATCAGATGATATTCGCCTCGAAGAGAATCGAGGAACAGGCGGAAGAGGCTCTGGCGAAGAAGCCGGAGGACCACGAGGACGTACGAGGGACGAACGAGTCCGCGATAGAAAAGTCGAAGGACGACTGGCCGACGGTGGTATCGGTGGAGAAGGAGGAAGATGTTACGGAAGCGAGATACGGCGAGCGGAGAAACGTGCAAGATATCAGGGCAATCTCGTTCCAAGTGCCGCCGCCGCCAGATGAGAAGGAGGAGGACTATCAGGACAGCCGACAGCAGGGCAAGACCGGCGTCGGTCACACGGACGAGACGAGGAAGCTCGTCGAGACCAGGAAAAATCAGTCCAGATCGGCGAATAACTTGCTGCTGCCCGGCAAGTCGACGAAGGCCTTCTACGAGATTAAACCGTCGATCAGGACCTTCGAAACGCAACGCGGGCGTGATCATCAGTTCCAGATAACCACTCACAGGACGTTGCTGGGCAAGAAGTTCGTCTTGCCCAGCGTCGATAGCGCTTTCGGAAAATTCGGTCCATATTTCGAGGACGGCGACCGGGAGATAAACGTTACCGCGAGAATCGGCAGTACTGTTTTGTTGGACTGCAAAATCGGCATGCTAGGCGATAAAGAGGTGAGTTGCTTTAGCTATCGTTAATCCTTTCTTTTAATAGTTACGAGAGAAATGTCAGATAACGAACGAAATGATTGAATTTTTGTTATAACTTTATAATTGACAACTTGTCATATAGAGACGGGCGAATTATAATGAGGGGAAAAATTTATTTGTCGAGTCAGATAATTTCATTTTATCGATGACAGTCTGTCGTGCCATAATCGTGCTGGAACGTTATGTAGTCGGAGAAATGAAAGCTGAATGAAAACGCTTCTCGTTGTTAATGTGTATTGACGTTGTATTATATTTTCTTAATTTTTCTAACCTGTGTTCAAGAGATTAGAAAAAGTTCCAATTTGAAAAGTTAAAATTAGTAATAAGTTAATAGATATTTAATTAATTAAAATCTTATATAGCAATTTTATAAATTACATTTACATACTTTCTTAATTTATTATAATTACTTTTTCTCTCGTAAATGATTTGAAATAATTCCATCTTCTATTAAGGAAGATCTGGAAGATAGGTTTTTATTTTAATTTTATTTTTGTTTTTTTTTATTTTGAATTTTTGAAATCAAGACCGTCGAGAACAATTACATATTTTTTCGTTCTCTTTTCTTCCTTCCTCTTCACCCTATGAAAAAACTTCAAACAATATGTAAGATAAATATAAAATTAATAATATAAGATAAATCAATAAAAAAGACATTTATACGCAATCGACCAATACCAATAAGAAAAATTTAACAAATGTGTAATGTGTTACTGTAATGTTACTGTAATGTGCAATTAATTATTATAGGGCTCTTTTTTAATCTTTAAACTGCAGGCTCCAGTAATATGTATTGTCTCTCCTCCTATCTCGTTAGGCTTAGGTTTGAAATTATATATAATCACATGTATGAATCTTTTTGAGCCCTTTTGATTCTAAAATTGTTCATGATGATACAATTTACAATACATTTCTTTTATCTTGTTAAATTTAAGAAAATAATTAAAGTCTAGAAGATCAAGGCAAAGGAAAAGGATTGAGAGATTGCGCGAATTTCGTTAGTCTAATCAGGAAGACTACGCATTTTTCTCCGTCGAATAATGCGAATCGGGGGGAAAGCGCAACGATCGAGAAGGTGAGGCAAGCTAGCGAGAAAGATGCGGCGCGTCGAGTAAGCGAAAGCGCAGATTATAATTGCAAACATCGTTTGTTAGTGTCTGCTGCGTGTACGCTCTCGTCTGTCTTGTCGTTGCAAAAGTTTTCGCATTTCAATCAGTGCCGCCTCTCTCTCTCTCGGCACCCTCCCGGTCCCTTTCTCCCGTGATTTCTATGTCCATTTGCTCCTCGTCGCGCTTGGGCGGCTTGAAGTTCCGAGACACGGGTGCGCTTGGGATTCCCGTGGGATTCATATTCCACGGAATACGTAATGCGAAACCGATTGCGGTGGGACGGCAGTGCCAAGGAAACGAAAACGAGTGTCCCCGATTCGAGGCGTGCATGCGTGTCGCGTGAATGTGATGTCGCCTAACTTCTATAGGTAAGGGAAGGGGGTGGGGCAAATAGTGACGGATTTTTTCCTCTCGGAAGAGCACACGT